TAAATTTACAAGTTAAGTATCTTGTAGAGATTTCATTGATGTGTTATTGATAATATGAGATGAAAATTGATAAGGTAATCTAAAAAATAAAGAAAGGATTAAGTGAAATAAAAAGTTTCATTCATATTTACAAAGTTGAGGGAATATTGTTTTTATCAATTCAAAGACGATTTTTCAAATCTCTCAATCCATGTTAGGTATGTGTACACGTACACCATCAATTCTCGAAATTCCATTCATCTGTTTGTATAAAATAAATAAATAAAATCAACAAATAAAAAAAATAAAAATAAATACGTAGCGATGACATGACGTAGCGATGACATGACGTAGCGATGACATGACATCACGATGACGTAGTGAGGACATCGGAAAATTATAATATAGATTATATTTGATATATTATATTATTTAGTAATTTTATGGATCTATTATTAATAATTATAATACATTTCACTTATGTCTTAAGACTTATTTTTGGCTTATATTCCTGTTAAACAGTGACACTCATGTATTTTATCTTAACTTTAAAAAATTGTTTTTCTTTTACATCCTTAAGCTATTTATGGCGTAACTTAATATATTTCAAATAAGAATTGTTTCTTTCTTTTTGTTAAAAACAACTTTTATATTTTAAAAATCAATTTGTTTATAAACTAATATTAAATTTTATATTTTATAAATCAATTTACTTAATAAACTAATGTTCAATTTTTTATTTTAACTTTAAAAAAAAAGATCAATTTATTATAAACTACATTAAATTAAATTGTCAATATATATAGGAAACTATTTTGAATTATGTGATCATTATATTTTTTAAATTTAAATATCAATAAATTGACGTAATATACGTTTATAACATTTGATTTCTGCCTTTGATTTCTGCAACCTTTTCAATTCCATTTATTAAAAAACATTTTTGGTTCATTTTACATATTTATAAATTTATTTTCCCAAAAATCTATAATTTATGATGAATAGTTTTATAAAAAAATATCAACTTTTACATTCTTTCTTTTAAATTATTATTTAAGATATATGCATACATATTTGAGAGTCAGGGGGGGAGGACTAAGCGGGGTATTTTTTTTATTAGCTAAAAATGATATTTACAAAAAGTGATAAATTTCTGAAGGGGGATTTCCCCTTGCCCCCCCTGGCTACGCCTATGACCTCATATATTGTTATAAACTTCTCTCTCCACCTTCATAACATTAAATCATTTTGACTTTTGAAAATATTTTAATTCTTACAATTTATTACAATTATAAATCAAAATGAACTAAAATGAAGAATTACATAGTAAAATAATGTATATTAACAAACATTGAAACTCCGCATACACATTATGAAAATATAATCTTTTATCTATTAAATGTAAAATGCAAAGTTTTATAAATAATAAGTGTAAAACAAATTTCTAATAATGCAAAGTTTTATAAATAACAAATGAAAAACAATTTCATCAATATTAAATGTAATACAATTTTGTAAATTTACTTTGGATCTTTTTTTACATCTAAATAGCTATAAAAAGTTATCAACAGACAGAATTATTGCTAAAAAAATAGTTGAAGAAACTCTAATTATTTCCAAAGAATCTTAATATAATATTTAATCATTGATTTGAGCATATACAGGGTTGCATGTGTTTTATTTGGTGATATAATAAAAACAAAAACTATTAAGTGGTATAATAATAAGTTTGAAGTGTTTAAAAAAACAGAAATACCACATTTATGTATTAGGAAAAAAATAGTTTAAGTGAGTATTTTTTCAAATTTTTACAATAATTTTTTTTAAAAAAGTAACATAAGAATTTACCTATGAAATGTTTCTAGAATATCATTTGTAATTGGAAAATTAATTTTTTGGAAGATTTGGAAGTGTATAACTGTATTGTAGTATTTAATGATCTTTATTTCAGATTCTAATCTTAAATTTCAATATTGATCATAAAGACTTATACTAAGAATTTAAAAAATCAGCACCCACCTTTAAAGTAATTAACTTATATTGCAGATAAATGTAAATGACATTCGTTTTTTCCTATAGAAAGGCGCTCAGAAGAACGAAATATAAAAATTATCAACCAAAGAATATTTTATTTTGTATATATTATAATAATCTATAATTACAAACACAATAATAATAATTTACATAATGATTTAATTTTGTAAGAAAATATTATATTTTTAAATTGCATTTTCGTTTAGTTTTGAGTGTTCCGAAATTGGCATCTTTATTTTTATATCTTTATTTTCATTCTTTCCATTTCAGGCTGGGTCAACAATTTGGTTACTATGTCATTTTCTTTTTATTCCAGCAATTAAATTTTCTTTTTGGGTTTTGAATTGCCGGTGAGTTTGGGTTTATTACAGTAAAATTGGCACTTATAGCAGATTGCGAAAATGATGTGGAAAAGGAATGATTAGATAAAAAGGAATGATTAGATAAAAAGGAATTATTATTATATAAAGAAGAATTTCTAAAACTATTATTGGTATTATTGGATAAAATATTATTAATATTAAACATTTTAAATTTAAAAAATTGTTTTTTTGTAATTAATAAGTTTTATGAAAATTTTTTATTAATTGTTAAATTTTTTTCCTAATACATAAATGTGGTATTTCTGTTTTTTTTCAACACTTCAAACTTATTATTATACCACTTAATAGTTTTTGTTTTTATTATATCACCAAATAAAACACATGCAACCCTGTAAATTTAATTTGCCTAACTTTAATCGTAAAGTCATTTGATCGTAAATTTGGTCCATTTTTTTCTGATTGGTCTATTTAATTGCGGTAAATTAAAATCATTTAAAAACATTATGCATAATACTTTAGCTGATAATTTAAGACTATTTGTTAAAAGAAGAAATGAATCATTACAAAGTATGATATATTTAATTAAACGTAAGGATATACTCTGCCATAACCTATTTCAATATACAATACATAGAATAGCTGGCCCTACAGTATATTACCGCTGCAGAAGGAGAAATTGTAAAGGCAGAGGTAAGTTAGTAGGTAGTGTATTTGAAGAGACACAAAATCATCTAACAGCTGAAGGTATATTTAATACTAAACTTATCTAGATTACATACATTAATTTAGATAAAGATTCTCAGTGTAGTATAGATCAGAATATTAGCCAACCCAGTAGCTCATCTAGTAATCAGTAAGTAACAAATAAAATAATTATTTTTGAATAAACAAGCTAATATAATTCAACAAATACAACCACAACATATACAGCCCCAAATATTACAACCAATTACTAGAGATAACTTTTACCCTCCAATTTCAAGTAACAAAAATAATTGTATAAATTAATAAACATTTTTTTAGATATATTAACAAATGTGGCCCAAATACAAAGTTTTGCATTTAACCACACTAATAATCAAACTACTTTTACAAGTAGATTACAAATATTTTTTTTAAATTATATTTTAATATAATTATAGACCTGGAAGACATTAACAATGCAGGAATTTTATTAGACTTACATAATTCCAACAATGAAAATTTAAGTAAATAAATTATATTATTACATTTACATAATCTGATTATAAATAATTTATATTTTGACATTGTAATTTTTAGATATACAATATATTCCAACTTCAAAAGGGAATTTGGTTTGTATCATGATGGATATTTATACATCAAAGATTATACAAAATCCGCAAGATATAAATGATGTGGCACTCAGTTGCCAAATATTAGCAACAACCAATAATCTACCAATGGATAATTTTTTTTTATACATGGATAAAACCTGGCTTGGTATACTAAATATATAAAATAATTTATTATTTTATAGGAAATAATTCAATGTTTCCTAGAGAGATGTGGTCCAGATATGGTACATCTGGACCTAGGACCAATAATCATCTAGAGGGCTGGCACTCAGCATTAAATAAATCAAAAGATCTTCGCATCCAAACATTTATACATTTATAAATTTAATTCAAAAAGACCACATAAATAATAAATTAAAAAAGGTCCAACTTGACCTGGAGATGACAACAAAAAAAACTAATAATAAATATATAACAAAAAAGAATATTCAAAATCTAATTACTCAATATAATTTAAAAATTATAAATAAATATTTATTTGCTGATAAAGCATCTTGTTATATAAAACTTATGTATAATTATAATATAGATGTATAATAAAATATAATATTCTGACCAAATTAACAATTAATTTTATTTATAAGTTATAATTATCTAATAAATTGTAATCATATTTATCAGTTGCTTCTATTTCCATTATTTAAAGGAGTTCAAAATCAGTAGCTCTTCTTTCTTCATTATCTAATAAATAATAAATTTTAATAATCTCTCCCAAAATCCTACCTTCAGCCTCATCGTGGCGGGGGAGTGGCAACGTCTTTTGGCGGCAAATGGAGGTCTAAAAGGTTCCCTGTGATCTGGGTCTAGAATAGGATCACCGTCTCCTCGACGGGGTGTAAAAACCACTTAAAGAGGTTGATGTCAGGAAGGGCATCCGATTGTAAAAACCTTGCTACAAAAATTTCCCTATGGTTACAACAAAGCATGGGCGGGGTATAGCCCAAAGTACCCCGTGGGCCTCCTCATCCGCCTACGACAAAAAGAAGGATGGGAAACCTGGTGGAACCACTATTCATGAAAATGAAACCTATGACGGCCATAAACGACCTGATAAAAAGTGGAGAAACCAGTTTACGGGTGATCGAGTTATGGTCGCGACATGGAATGTTGGGAGTATGACGGGAAGAGATGGAGAAGTCGTCGATGTATTGCACAGAAGACATATAGATGAGTGCTGCATACAGGAGACTTGATGGAAAGGAAATGGGACCAGAATGATTGGCAAGACTAGCGAAAAGTATAAATTCTTTTGGCAAGGAGGTAATGATGGTAAGGCTGGAGTTGGGGTATTGGTTATGGAGAAATTGGTAGACAAGTCGAAGTGAGAAGGCTAGACAACCAGATAATGGTTATCAAGATGATTTTTGGTAGAAAGCTATATAATATTATCTCGGCATATGTTCCTCAGGTTGGAAGAAGTGAAGAAGAGAAAAATGTATTTTGGGACAGTCTATTGGGGGTGACATCGAGACTGGCAAATAAAGAGGGGATTATCCTGGCTGGCGATCTGAATGGACATGTGGGAGCGAGTAGTGAGGGTTATGAAGGAGTACATGGAGGGTTCAGTTACGGCATGAGAAATTTGGAAGGAGAGAGGATTTTAGAATTTAGTGATGCTATGGATATGATTGTTTGTAATACAATGTTTAAGAAAGAATCAGAGAAGCTGGTGACTTATAAGTCGGGTAGTACCAAAAGTGTTGTGGATTACTTGTTATTAAGGAGATGTGATCGATGTATAATAAAAAATGTGAAAGTGATACCGGGAGAGGAATGTATAAATCAGCATCGACTAGTTGTAGGAGATCTCACTCTTAAAGGTGCCAAAAAGAAAGTTTGCCCCAAGGCTGAAGGTTTGGAAATTGAAGGAGGAGAATGCTAGACGTCAACTCAATATGGCATTAGCGATTAGGGAGGCGGAGGTGGCACAAGCATCTGGGGTGAATGACAAGTGGGAAGTCATGAAGAAAGCTTGGGTAATGACAACTGAGGAGGTATGTGGATGGACAAAAGGGCCGCCTAGACATAAGGAGACTTGGTGGTGAAGCCCGGAGGTAGCGAAAGCCGTGGATGAGAAACGGAGGTGTTTCAAAGTATGGTATAATAGCAAAGAAAATAGTGATAATGATATTTACAAGATGGCTAAAAGAAATGTTAAGAAATTAATAGCGAAGGCTCAAGAAGAAAAGAGACATGAGTTTGTTAAAGAAATGGAATACGCTGATGGAATTGGAAATATGGTTAGAATGGCAAAACAGATGTCAAAAAAGAGGCAGGATGTGATAGGTGTAAAGTGTTTGAAAATATGGAAGGAAAAATGACGATTGATAGTAGTGGTATTAAGAACACCTGGAAGATTTACATGAAAGGACTTTTGAATGAAGAAAATGAATGGAATAATAATATTAGTTGTGCAAAGGTAGAAGGTCCAGGGTGTAAATTTGGCAAGAGATAAAGAGAGCAGTGAAAAAGATGAAGAAAGGGAAGGCATCGGGTTTAACGATGGTGGTATCAGAGATGTTTAAAGGTTCTGATGATTTAGGGATTGAATGGTTAATGAATTTAGCAAATCAGATTGTCACAGAAGGTACTATTCCCGAGGACTGGCGAAGAAGTATAATTATCCCAGTATACAAGGGGAAAGGTGATCCTTTAGATTGCGGGTCTTACAGAGCTATTAAACTCTTGGAACATGCAATGAAAGTATTTGAGAGAGTGTTAGAGAAGCGGATAAGGGAACAAATTAAAATTGATGAAATGCAGTTTGGTTTTACAAAGGCACGACAGAAGCAATTTTTGTGGTGAGACAAATTCAGGAGAAGTATCTTGCAAAGGAAAAGAAACTCTATTATGCGTTTGTTGATTTGGAGAAAGCATTTGATAGGGTGCCGCGTGAGATTACAAGATGGGCCTTGAGAAAATCCGGTGTAGAGGAATGGTTAGTTACCGCAGTGATGGCAATGTATGTTGGAGCACAAACAGCAGTAGGGTCGGATTATGGTGATAGTGACAGCTTTGAGGTGAAGGTAGGGCTTTATCAAGGATTCGTGCTGAGTCCATTATTATTTAACTTAGTAATGGATGTGGTGGCTAGAGAAATGCGTGAAGGACTTCCTTGGGAGATATTATATGCAGATGACCTTGTATTAATGGCAAACAGTGAGGGAGAATTGAGGGATAAAGTTAGTAAATGGAAGATGACTATGGAAGCAAAGGGCCTGAAAATGAATGCAACAAAAACAAATGTGATGATTGGTGGGGAAAATCTAAAGATAGAAGAATCAGGTAAGTGGCCTTGTGGTGTATGTGCGAAAGGTGTTGCTAGAAATTCTATCCAATGCACCAGATGCCAGAAATGGGTACATAAAATATGTAGCGGGAAAAAAGGCAGTTTGATGTTAGAAAGAATGACCTTTATTTGTAAAACATGCATGAAAGGGATACATAATAATGATAACCTAAAAAATGGTGGTCTGGATATTGGCAATGGGTTAACCCTAGAAAAATTGGATAAGTTTTGTTATTTAGGTGATATGCTAAACGCAGATGGTGGTGTAGATTCTGCTGTTGTTGCAAAGATCAGACTAGCTTGGAAGAAGTTCAGAGAGATGTCGTCTATTCTTACAAATAAAAATGTTTCTCTGAAGTTAAAGGGGAAAGTTTACGTAAGCTGTGTGAGGAGTTGTTTAGTTTATGGCGGTGAAACATGGGCAATGAAAGCAATTCACGAAGCCAAATTAGAAAGAACAGAGATGAGGATGGTTAGATGGATGTGTGGGGTATCTCTGAGAGAGAGAAAAACTAGCAAGGAATTGCGAGCAAGATTAGGTATAGAAATGATTGGTATGGTAATGCGACGAAATAGACTAAGATGGTTTGGGCATGTGGAACGTATGACAAGAGATGACTGGGTAAAGAGATGCACAATGATGGAAGTAGGAGGATCAAGACCTAGAGGAAGACCCAAGATGACGTGGACAAATGTGATAGCGGCGGATATGAGAAGCTTGAATCTTACAAGTATTGATGCTCAGGACCGTCAAAAATGGAAAAGAAAAATCAGAGGGAAAACTGGCCTACCCGGGTAAACCTGGAAATCGCCATAAAACGGAGAAGAAGAAGAATAAATTTTAATCATATTTATCAGTTGCTTCTATTTCCATTATTTAAAGGAGTTCAAAATCAGTAGCTCTTCTTTATTCATTATCTAATAAATAATTGATATATGTTTATTAATAGGTATACATTATTACACTAATCTGATATAAAGAATTAGAAAAATATTTCCATTATTTAAAGGAGTTCAAAATCAGTAGCTCTTCTTTCTTCATTATCTAATAAATAATAAATTTTAATCATTTTTATCAGTTTATTAATAGGTATACGTTGTAATCATATTTATAGTTGCTTCTATTTCCATCAATTAAAGGCATTCAAAATCAGTAGCTCTTCATTATCTAATAAATAATACATTGATATATGTTTATTAATAGGTATACATTATTACACTAATCTGATATAAAGAATTAGAAAAATATTTCCATTATTTAAAGGAGTTCAAAATCAGTAGCTCTTCTCTCTTCATTATCTAATAAATAATAAATTTTAATCATATTTATCAGTTGCTTCTATTTCCATTATTTAAAGGAGTTCAAAATCAGTAGCTCTTCTTTCTTCATTATATAATAAATAATAAATTTTAATCATTTTTATCAGTTTATTAATAGGTATACGTTGTAATCATATTTATCAGTTGCTTCTATTTCCATCATTTAAAGGAGTTCAAAATCAGTAGCTCTTCTTTCTTCATTATCTAATAAATAATTGATATTTGTTTATTAATAGGTATACATTACTACATTAATATGATATAAAGAATTAGAAAAATTACGTGCATATAAATTCATATGAATGAAAAAATCGTCCATTTTGACCTAAGATCAAAATAATACGATCAAAGGAGGCCCTCCCGTAAAAAGCTCAAGCGAAATTTTGCGAATAGTTAACCGACATAATACCTAATTATCACATAAAAATAGTAAAGGTACATTTTAAAAATTCAAAATTCACTTGATCTGCTTTTTTTTATGAAACGATAAAATATAATAGTAAATTTCAATACAAAGCTAATAATCACCATCAAAAGGTTATTTTTTATTCTTATAATAATATTTTACTTCCGTTATAGTTTATATTCATCACAAAGTAAATATAAAATAGAAAAACAAATAAACCAATCTATAGAAATCTTTAAAAAATAAATATAATACGAGTTATAGATTTTCTTATCTCTTTATTCTGTCACTATTGTAAGTAATTAATCACTATATCTGCTTCTGCCTTCTATATATGCTCAATCTTTAAAGAAATATCATCCCTATATAAATAAATGTGGCCTGGCAATAGAGTAAATTACTGTCAGTGTATTCTTCTGTACATTGCACTGGATACACCCTAAAGGGTGGAGGAAGCCCCTTTAATTAGTGGGCTTCCCCTGTGTACAAGATACCCTAAATATTAGAAATTACGTATTGTGAATAATAAAGATAATGTAATGCTAAATCACATATTTATTTGTAGAATTTATATATAATGTAATAATTTGAATATATTAATAATGTTTTATCTATCCTTTCTATTTTTTTTGAAAATATTTACAAAATTTTTTTGTTATATATAAATAGAGATGACAAAGTAAAAGCATGCCTAAACTTAGTTTTTTGTGCTTGACAGATTATTTTGAACAAATTTACCAAATATATAAATTTATACTTTGACAGTAGTGTCGTTAATGAGATAAAAGTAAAGAGTTTAATTGGAAGCTGCATTATAAATTATTTATTTAAATTGTTATTTAATATAATATTTTTATTACATAAAGTAATTTTTTAATTTATATAAATTTAATCAGGAATTTTTTTAAAAAAATAAAAAATATGTTAAATAACATGGAAACCATATATAAAACGTTAAAATAACACTAAAAAGACAAAATATAAAAATGTATAATTATCGATTTAATGATTATGTTCCCAAAAAGGAACCATCTTGGATATGTATGTTTATATGTCACAAATAAAAATACAATTTAAATATAGAAATAATTACACAATGTATACTGAAAAAATAATAATATTTGTTTTCAAAAAAATTTGGCATAATGAATTTTTATTTAAGTTTAACAAATATAATTTTTCAAAATTAGTTTTTCTTCAAAAACAAACTTCCCTTGACTAAACAAACATTTATAGAGTGCTTGATGTAAGTGGATGCTATATTTAATAAACAACAAATTTAAATGTGGAAAACTATAATATTAATAAATGAGACATAAATATAACATTTTTTTAAAGTAACTTGAAACAGTTACATTCAAAAAATGTTAATATTTATAGTTACTAAGTAATGTTTTCCAAGAGTAAATAGGTATTTTTTTGCAAAAGAATAACTAGCTACTTTAATAAAACTATTGAATAGATAAATATATTTTTCCTTATCTTTTAGTCAACCTTTATTAAGTATTATTTTTTTAAAGTGAAAGGAAACATGATATGCTATAATTATATTAATGATTATTTTTAGATTAAGATTATGGAAATATCAGAAATTACCAAAAACATAAATGAAATTTCGCTCGAAAGATTTGATCCCCATAAATTACTCCAATTTCTTTTAAATATAACTCCAGATATGAAAATATTAGTTAAAGATATGAACTTATTAGCAACTTTATTTGCAGTCAGAGGTACTAAAATTAACAAAATTCTTAACACAGTTGGGGCAGAAGCAACCAATAAAATAAGAGAATTAAGAGACAAGTATCAAATTGTTGAATCAGGAAAGAATACTAGTAGTGTTACATTAGCAAGAATAGGTCAAATATGGGCTTTTAATATTTGTAGAGCTTGTTTTGAAGGAGATATATTGGATCCAGTAGATAAATCTCTACCAGATGGTTTCCCAAAAGCAATGCGATGTAGTGTCTATGCTAGTCTTATATATAGGTCTATGATTAAGACAGATTTAGTTTGCCTAAAAGAAGCATATGCATACCATCAATACTTATTAGATTGTATTATAAATCCTAATAAAAGAAGTAATCCTTCTAAAATAATGAGCAGGATAGAGGAACAAATTCAATTTTCAATTTACACTGATGAGGTACGATTAGAAGGCAATTTGAAATTTGGCATTTTAAAAGAAGGGGGTGCCATTGCAAATGAAATTAAACCTGCATTAGAAGAAGCGGCTAGAAGATGGAGAGAAATAATCTCTTAATTTAATACAATTATGATTTAATAAATAGTTAATAATTATTGATTATCATGAAATCATAAGATATTTTTATACAATTTTACAATAAATGATTATATATCTTTTTACGTTTTATATACCTTTTATTTTGTTCATAATAAAATATGAAATTAATTGTTTTATAATAAATTTATTTTAAAATTCATTAATGTTAGAATTTTCAATCCATTAAAACTTCAAATATTTAATTTATTTCCTTGGTTTCCTTAAATCATATATGCTTTTATATTTCTGAAGTGAGTCATTTCCTAAAAGATAAATTAAAATTTTAATAACTTTTGATCAAAACAGTCAAATAATTTATTGAAAAATAATCTTCATGTTCAATAGTGTGTTCTTAATTAGCTGGGTCAGGCTAAACAGTCTAACTCATTGTGAAAGTTGTAAAAATCCAGCTTATTACTTCATCTGATATATATACTCATTTTTTTGAAAAAATTTATATAAAACTAGGAATTTAATAATAAGAGAAACAAGTTCACATCTTTTACATTAATTGAATTAAAAACTAAGATTTAGATTTATATCTTTTTTTAGGCTAGTTTACACTCTACAAGTTAGGCTGATTAGTTTTTTAAATATACTTTTTATAAAAATTTAAAAACACTAAAAATTTAATTATAGTTAAATAGCATTATCAAGCCTTCACCCATATCTGCTACATAACATTGTTTAGATTTGTTTAAAAAAAACGAATTTTGTCTTATAAACCTAAAAATCGTTTTATATTATGGTGCAGGTTCTATTTATTTTAATATATAAATTTTTTAAAAATTTGAGTTGTAGAATTGGGTTTAATAAATAATTTTTGTAAAAAATTAAATTAAGGAAATATATAATAAAACTAAATAAAAAGAGTATATAATTAACCTTATAATGGTGAAAACATTTTCGGAGATTTCTAATCTTGTCATTCCTTGATTTACAAAACCCACTAGCTAACATTAGACTAGTGTTACCGATTAAGATTTTAGCCAAAATAATATTATATAAGTCGAGATATGGCAAATAAAAGTTCAAACCTTTCTGCCATCCGTGAGCAAAATCTCTAGGCTCACATGATATTATTTTGGCTAAAATCTCAATCAGACAGTTTTTAAAAATCTACCTAAATTGGAGCTTTTAACAACACTACATTAAACATAAATATAATGGAAAATAAATTTAAAAAAAATTGCGCGTTGTCAAGATTCATACCAGCGAGTTTCTCATCATTCGAAGACTCTGTCACAGCTGCCTTTCAGCGATGTATATTCTAAATCTTATATATAATAATTATAGTCTGTGATGAGATATTTTATTAGATAACCAGGTTAAAACTGCCCTATAGCGAGTGTCTCTATTAGAGGTCAATGCGGCCCAACCTGATGATTTGCGAGGTGAACCAAACAAAGCACAAAATATTTTTATGGGTCAGGTGGGAAGTTTAATATTAAATTCTTAAAGTATTTTTTAACACGTATATAATTATGGTGACTTAGAAAGTGGGGTCAAGCAGATATGCTTCAGGTTAGCTTCTAAAAATAGCATCACTTAGGATAGAGAATACCTAAATCGAATTATTCGATTAAAACTTTACGAATACAAATAACAAAATTATTATAATCGAATACAAATGAGGAAAATATATTATCTGTCCAATAATTTATAGTTATTCGATCAAATTATTCGTATATATTTTGTAAATATTTAAAATTATTTGCAAATATATTTAATTTATAAAATATTTTCAAAATTATTCTTAGATATTAGAAATTATTTTTGAGTATTTTGCATGTTTCTCGCGGTACTTATTAATTCTTCACCTTAATTTTAATATTCCATTTTATCATTTTTGAAAATATATTAAAAGAACCTAATATTCAAATCAAATTCAATAAAGTTTTTATTCGACGTGAATAAGTCAATTAATACTAATAAAATAATTATCGTATAAAATTATTATTTATTTTTCCGTGGTTAGTTTATATAGTCTCCGGTAACGTTGACTAAAAAATTGGAAGCTCTAATTCTAAAATTTGGAAGTTTTTTGCTTTATTAGTAGCTGACTTTAGCCAGTATAAAGGAAAAAATTATTAGTAACAAGATTTTGCCCCCCCCCCCCCCCCTTAAGGTTAAAAAGCTACTGAAAGCATTTATTTTGTAAATTTATCAATGTTTAGAGCTTAATTATATATTAATTTTATCCGTTCGGTAGACAGTATAAAGAAAAATTAAAATCGCCAAAATAGGTATCGTGCTAAAATAGAAAATATAAAAATCTATATATATGGCGTGTCAAATATTTAGTGCCTGACTAGTACTTTAATTCCTCAATCAAATATGAGAACCACAAAAAGAAACTGAGTTATAAACAAAATGAAAACTATGACTCATGTTTTAAGTGTAAAATGAGCCTAGCTTTTGAAAATCATAATTCTGAAACTTATACTAAATCATTAAGTAGGGCTTTATTTTTATATTTTATTCTGTTTAGTAGTTGATTTAATGGAAAAAAAGAATTATTGGTAAAAAAAAATAAAAATTGGCATCATGTAGAACGGAGAATGTAGAAGTTCGAACTAGCTGGTTTGCATAGTGCCTTATTAATTCTTAAAACAATTTCCAAGCCATTTACAAAAATCTAAGTATGATATCACGTCTTAAGGTTTTCCAAACATTTGGAAGCATTATCTCTGAAATTTATGTCAATAATTAGTGCGTATTTTATTCCTTAGTGCTTCAATCCATTTGGTACGTAGTTAATAGAAAAATATTTTTGGCTAAAAAAAATCTTCAAGGTTGACATCATGCTAGAAGAAAAAATATAGAATGAACAATATGTAGTGCTGTAAATATTTCTAAAAAAATCTAACGTGTTCACGTTCACTTTTAAAAAATACGAACTTCGTTCACGAACGCGTTCTTTATGAGTATTACTTACTAATTAATCAATTAATTATTCCAATCAATAGATAAAAATGGCGACATAAAAATTTTGGCACTTTAGGCTGAATCTTAAGTCGTGATTTAAAAATTAATTATGTCTAAATACATTAAGGTATACTATAATCTTCATAGACGTTATATTTTCACAGTTGTTTAATAAATACAGAAATAATTTAAATTTTAAATCGAGTTAAATTTTCAAAAATTTATAATGAATTTTTATTAAGACTCAGTTCTAAGCGTGAAGTTTGCCAAACTTTTGAAAGCGCTAATTCTAAAACGTAGGCATATAAAAATGAAATAAAAAATATGTTATACTATTATCATTATAAAAATTCCTTATCATCTTAAAATATGAAACTAGATGTGGCTCTAGCTTTGATACTTTCATATTTAGTGGCGGAATAAAAAAGTGTTCAAATAGACTTGTGGCATCTTTGAGAAATGTGATATCAAAATATGATGGAATTGTAACGGTAATTGAAAACGGTTATAATAGCTAATTTTTTACCCTCAGGCGCTAAAGTTGAGCGCTTGTTCAGTAATTTAACACTAAGTGCGCTTTTACAATTGAAAATATAATCCTATACAAATTATAGCGACTTTTGGAATGTGTCCCGATTTTTTAATTTTTTTTCTTCTGTCTTTAACATTGTAATTCTTAGATTTTTGAAATTTTTTATAGAATAAATTATATAGAATTAGAAATAAGTTTTTTCTGGTACGTGACAATTTATCAATTTAAATATTTTTAAGATATTTCCATATAACTATAATCTTGTTTTTCTTGCCGATCAATTTAATACAACCTTTTCAATCACAAAAGTGTATGAATTTCTATATTATATTATGAAAAACTGTATGGGCACCTATCTTGATTAAGTTTTGATTAATTTCACTGAAACTAAGTAGTGATAAGACCTAATAGGTAACTTAGACAGTACCCTCCCTAAGATATTGCTTGTACTTAGGTGAGAATTTAGATTTTTCAAAAAGCGAAAAGAATTTGCCATAGAGCATGTTTCGTGTCATGTTATACATGTCTCCATTTCATATACTGATTTAAATTGATTTTTATAAATAATAATCCATTTGCTTGATATTTTTTGTGCTGCCTTTAAGCAATGCCTAACTAAGATAAATCGTAAAGAGGCTCCTAAATTTTAGGTATACTTTTACGCGGATCTGGTTTGAGAGAAATTTAAGTTCTTTTGCTTAATTTCACCGAAATATGGTTTGGAATAAGACTAAGCTAGAAACTCCGGATTAGGTTTAAATATAGTTTTAGGTTAATTTATAATAATAATTTTGCTAAATTTAACAGAAATTATGGCAGGGAATAAGGGCCAAACTTATTTAGGAGGTAGACTTAGCGTTATAAATTATATGGTTTAATAGGAATAGTCTATATCTTTAAAAAATTTAACTTATTTGAATTTTTATTAGGCGAATTTTTTCTCATATCTTGTTGATTTTCTCACAATTATTAAATATTTTTATTTGGTGAATTTTTTCTCATATCTTGTTGATTTTCTCACAATTATTAAATATTTTTAAGGGTCTAAAATAATAAGAGGCTGAAATTAGGTATTCGATGATAGAACAGGAGGTCTAAATTTTATTATTTAAACGTACCATAAACCATTGATCCTTTTGTTTTGGAAGAATAATCGTGAGTTGTTGCAGTGATGGTAAGTCTAAAGTTTTGATCATCAAAATATGGAAAAAGTAAGTAAAAGGGATATTTTGTGGAAGTTAGAAAAAGTGAAGGGAGGGGGGGGGGATTTGGCAAGAAATGAAAAGGATGGAAGAAAACCTTGGAGAGTCGGGATAAAAAGTTTATAGCACTAAAAAAATTAAGGGTTATTGACGAGTGTTTCATGTGTAGGTTTGTTAAAAAGCCCGATTTAGTTCGTTTACAAAAAAGTATCGCGCATTGAGTATATCCAGCGATGGAAAAGATTATTTCGCCAGGTGTAATAGTTGCAGATATACAAAGTATCCTAGCTAGGTTAGCAAGTCTAGTATAATCTAGTCCCTTTTTTTAAAAGGTTAGTTCATTCTGTTTTGGTATAGTATGCTAGCCTAATAAATAGTGGCATTCTTTCTAGATTGCTA